GTTTATTCAGGTTCTTTGCCCATTTTTCAGTCACGTCATTTTGTTGTTGTTGTTTCTATTGAGTTTTATGAGTTTCTTATATATGTATTTTGCAATAGTATCTCCTTATCAGATACATGATTTACAAATATTTTCTTCTCTGTCAGTTGCCTTTTTATTTTGTTGATTGTTTCCTTTGTTGTGCAGAAGCTTTTCAGTTTGATGTAGTCCCACCTTTTTATTTTTGTTTTTGTTGTCTGTGCTTTCAGTATCAATCATATCCAAAACATTATTACCAAGGCCAATGCCAAGGAACTTTCCCTGTGTGTTTTCTTTTGGGAGATTTACAGTTTCAGATCTTACATTTGTGTTTAATCCACTTCAAGTTTCACATATGGTATAAGATAAGGGTCCAATTTCATTCTTTTACATGAGGATATACAGTTCTCTCAATACCATTTATTGACGAGCCTATGCTTTCCCTATTGTGAACTCTTGCCATCCTTGCCGAAGATTGACTGTATATGCCTGGGTTTATTTCTGGGTTTTCTGTTCAGTTTCATTGGTCTATCTGTCTGTGTTTATGCCAGTACCATGCTGTTTTGATCACTATAGCTTTAATTATTTACTTTTATTATAGTTTGAAGTTAGGAAGTGTGATGCCTCTAGCTTTATTCTTTTTTCTCAAGATTGCTTTGGCTATTTGTGGTCTTTTATAGATCCCTACGAATTTCAGAATTGTTTGTTCTATTTCTGTGAATAATGCCATTGGAATTTTGATAGGAATTGGATTAAATCTGTAGATCAATTTGGTTAGCATGGGCATTTTAACAATATTAATTCTTCCAATCCATGAACATGAGACATCTATTTGTTTATGTCTTCAATTTCTTTGTCGATGTCTTGTACTTTTTAGTTCGTAGAACTTTCCCTTCTTTGGTTAAATTTATTCTTAAGTAAAGTCATGTGCTGTATAACAATATTTCAATTAATGATGGATTGCATATACAATTTCCTATCAGCTACTGGTGTCTTAGCCATCTTAGCATTGCAGTGCAACACATTAACTTTTCTATGATTAAAGATGCTTAGATACACATTGTGTTACAATTGCCTGTAGTATTCAGTACAGTAACATGCTGTTTGGTTTTGTATCCTAGGGGCAATAGGCTATACCATATAGCCTAGGTGTGTAGTAGGTTGTACTATTAAGGTTTGTCTAAGTACACTCCATGATGTTTGCACAATGACAAAATCACTTAACACATTTCTCAGAACATATCCCTATCATTAAGCACCATACGACTGTATTTTAATATTTTTATGGGATTGTAAATGGAATTTTCTCAGTTTCTTTCTTTCTTTGTTTTTTTTTTTTTTTTTTTTTTTTTTGGAGTGCAGTGGCAATCTCGGCTCACTGAAGCCTCTGCCTCCTGGGTTCAAGTGATTCTTCCGCCTCAGCCTCCCAAAGTAGCTGGGACTACAGGCACCCACCGCCATGTCCAGCTAATTTTTTTTGTGTTTTTAGTAGAGGCGGGGGTTCACCATGTTGACCAGCCTGGTCTCAAACTCCTGGCCTCAGGTGATCTACCTGCCTCAGCTCTCAATGTGCTGGGATTACAGGCATGAGCCACTGTGTCTGGACTCTCAGTGTTTCTTTTTTTATTTTTTACTTATTTATTATTTTTTTTTTGCGGGGGGCGGGTGACGGAGTTGGCTGTTTTTTGTCAATGTATAGAAATGCTACCCATCTTTGTATGTTGACTTTATATTCTGAAACTTCAGTGAATTTGTTTATCAATTTAAACTGTTTTAATGGCGTTTTTAGAGCTTTCTGTATATAAAATCATATCTCTGTAAACAGAGACAATTTAACTTCTTTCTTTCTGAATGGGATGTCCTTTATTTTTATGTCTTTTTCTAATTGCACTGGCTAGGATTTCCAGTATTGTGCTGAACACAAGTGGCCAGAGTGGGCACTCTTGTCTTACTCCTTATCTTAGAGAAAAAGCTTTCACCTTTTCACAATTGAGTATAATGTTAGTTGCGGGCTTGTTATATATAGTCTTCACTGTGTTGAAGTATGTTTCTTTTATATTTAATTTCTTGAGAGTTTTTTTTAATCATGAAAGGATGCTGAATTTTGTCAAATGCTTTTGCTACATCTATTGAGATGATCATACAGTTTTTCTTCCTAATTTTGCTAAGGTAGTATATCATATTTACTGATTTGCATATGTTAAACCATCATTGCATCCTGGGGGTAAATCCCACTTCATCATGATTAATGATTTTTCAGATATGCTGTTGAATTCAGTTTACTTTATTTATTTTATTATATTTTCTCATTTATGTTTATCTGGGATATTTTCCTGTCATTTTCCTTTCTTGTAGTATCCTTGTCTGGCTTTTGTATGAGGGTAATGCTGACTTCATAAAATGAATTAGGAAGTTTTCTCTCCTCTTCATCTTTTTTTTTTTTTTTGGAAGAGTTTGAGTAGGATTCGTTTTAGTTCTTCTTTAAATGTTTGTTGGAATTCACCCATGAAACCATCTGGTCTTGAGCTTTTCTTTGTTGGGAAGTTTTTCATTACTCACTCAGTCTCCTTACTCATTATTGGACTGTTCAGATTTTCTATTTCTTCATGGTAGGTTGTATGTTTTTAGGGATTTATCCACTTATTCCAGATTACTCAATTTGTTGACATAAAATATATTCTTTGTGTTTCTATGGTATCACTTGTAATGTCTTCTTTTTCATTTTTAATTTTATTTATTTTAGTTTTCTCTTTATTTTTTTCTTGGATAGTCCAGCTAAGAGTTTGTTAATTTTATCTTTTTTTAAAAAAAATCTCTTAGTTTTGTTGATTTTTATATTGTCTTTCTAGTCTCTGTTGCATGTATTCAGAAGTAACATTTAGTTCCTTCTGTTAACACTGGGCTTAGTTTGTTCTTTTTTTCTACTACCTTGAGGAAGGTTAGTTAGGTTGTTTATTTGAGACCTTTCTTTTTTCTTAATGTTGACACTTATTACTATAAACTTCCCTCTCAGGACCACTTTTGTTGAAGTCCACACATTTTGCTATGTGTGTTTCTATTTTCATTACTCTCAAGACACTTTTGGATATCTTCTTTGATCCATTGGTTGTTCAGGAGTGTTTTGTTTAATTTCCAAGTTAGAATTTGAAATAGAAATTATTTATAAAACAGGCATTTGTTACTGAGCATGTTTTGGTCTTCAGTTAAATTCTTTTTAACTTCTGGCTCCATGGTGTAATGGTTCTGGAATTAGCAACAATAAAACATTAGTTACATTGGTGAGTAATGGTTTTATTTAAAATAGAATTAAAATGTCAACCCAGTGGTGCTGAGAACTAAATGTAAACTCTCTAAGTGGCTAGCCTTGTGAATGTCAGAGGCCATAGCCACTACTAATAGCGATCAGGTTGGTGTTTGAGACTCATGAAGCAACCTGCATTTTAACTTACTATTTTATCTGAACCTCAAAATCTTTTGGGGAATACTTACCATAACTTATTTTACTGGTAAAAAATCCTAAAGCTCAGAAAGGTTAATTTTCTGGAAGTCATACAGCTTGTAGGCAGTGACAGAGCCCAGGAGGTTGTAAAGCAACCTAGTGGATAGAGCAAGAGTCTGATTCCAGGCCTCAGGCAGTTTGGGTGTCTGTGTAACTCAGGTACTGGTATGACATACAGTTGCTATGTATGAATGGGGAATAATGCCTACTTCATGAAGACATAGTGTGTAAGCTGCTTAGTGTAGAGTCAGCCATTGATTTGAATGCTTCATGAATGTTAGCCATTTTTTTTTCATCATCCACGTAACTTTCCGCTAGATCACTTGTGTGTTGACAAACACAACCACAGGCAACCTTCAACTTATCTAGTTTCCCACATTACCCAGGAGCATCCCCCCCACACCGGAATCGACTAAATTTGGTCAATTCTCCCCTCTCACCTTGTTTGTTCTAGGCTTTGGGGAAATTCCCTCACTCCTCCTTTTCCTTCCCTCTGCTTCTGCAGCCAGCACTTTAGCCTGAGCCCTTCTCCCTTTTCTGAACTTGAGTCCCAGCCTCCTGGCTCTGGAGTAGCAGGGGTGCAGGTGGGGAGGGGGTTTATAGAGGGCAGGGCTTTGTCGTAGGTAGGAAGGGAGAAATAAGAGGAGGAGCTGGAGTCATTTCTCCCTCTACCCTTTATCTTGAAGGAATGATACCTACTCTGATCTCCCACACCCAAGGCCATGCCATTTCTCTCCCAGGCCATGCCATCTCTCTCTCTCCTGAGCCATGCCATCTCTCTCTCTCTCTGTCCTAGATCATGCTATCTCTCTCTCTCCCATGCCATGCTATCTCTCTCTCTTTCTTCCAGGTCAAGCCATTTCTCTCTCTCTTCTGGACCATGCCATCTCCATCTTCCAGGCCATACCATCTCTCTCTCTCTCTCTCCCAGGCCATGCCATCTTTCTTCCAGGCCATGTCATCTCTCTCTCTCTTGCAGGCCGTGCTATCTCTCTCTCTTTATCCCAGGCCATGCCATCTCTTGTCCAGGCCATTCCATCTCTCTCTCTCACAGACCATGCCATCTCTCTCTCACCCAGGCTATGCTATCTCTCTCTCTCCCAGGTCATGCCCTCTCTCTGTCTCCCAGGCTTGGATCTGCAGCTCCCTTGCTAGAACCTGCTTCACTCCTCTTCTCCTAGTTGTAACATCTTACATACCCATGGTACAAGCATCAGGAGCTCTTGGGGTGTTTAGTTATACTTTTTATTTTGAGTTAGTTGTGGATTTACATTCAGTTAAAAAAAAAACACAAAGATTTCCCATGCATTCTTTATGTAGTTTCTCCCAATGGGAACATCTTATCTAGAACTTTTATATTTCAGTATTTTTGTTTTATTCTTCAGCTTTATTCACATTCAGGAGAAAATTCTCAGATCTTTTCTGAGGGGACAGAGAAGACAGAACATTTTTAAAAATTATAATGATTTTTTTTTTTTTTCAGGCAGGAAAGGTGAGCATCTGCTTTACCTAGACTCATCGTTGCTTCTCCAGGGACCATCCATGCCCTCAACAGAAACCTCTGGCTGAAAGCTTCTACAGGTGCTGTCCGAAGAGAACTGCACAGGCAGGAGGCAGGAAGAGAGCAGGTGCAGTGCTGAAGGCACTTAAAATCCTCCTGAAACCTTGCACTTGGGCGTGATCTTGGAGTCCGATAACTCAATTCTTCATCTGATGCTTGAGTCTCAACCTCTGCGGAACACTTCCAGTGCTAGGAACTCACCTCTATCTAAAAGCTTTGCTTACTTGGAATGCCAGAAAGTTCTTTCACTAGGCATGAGAGCAGGACTGTGTTTTCTTGTTCACTGTTGTATTCCTACTGCTAGCACAGCATTTCCCAACACAGTGCTTAACTAGTATTAGTTGAGTGAAGGGATGAATGAACGAACTAATGATCAGCCCTGTCTGAGAGGTTGGAAGCATGTTCTCCGTGTGAAGGAAGGGGTGGAGGCTGCCTGGGACGCTGAGGTCATGACTGACGCCAACCTGTCAGGGACAGAGCCAAGCCCACATGTGGGTGCCTTGCAGAACATAGGGGCCCTTGGAACTTGAGAGGGATAGAAATGCTCCAGGGTAGGAAGCCACTGAGGTTGGGGACACGACAACTCCTTCAAGTGTTCTAAGTGCCAAGGCCAAGTGGCAGCCTTTGTTCACAGTCCTGACTTAACTACATTCCTGGGTAAGTAGAGGGAAATTTAATCCATGTGTTCCCCAGTTATTTACACAACTCTGAGCAAGATGCTACCATTGTGTAAGAGCCATTTGACGTCGGTGGCATTGCTTTCTTTTTTCCATTCTGAGAAGAGTCCTTGAAGAAAAGCCAGCTCCTTCATCTCTGAAGAAGGGAGGGGCAAGAGCCCAGGGAACTGTCATCTGGACCTGGAAGGGCTCTGCAGCATCTGGGGAGACTTTCAGTGAGATTCAGAGAGGAGGCTAAGGAGAGGGGTTAGCACAGGAGCACCAGTGGGCTGCTGCTGAGCCCTGTGCCCACGTGGGCTCTGCCAACTGCTGCCAGCAGGAGCTTAGTGGAGGGAGGATGTAGAAGCAGCTGGGAGATGCAGTGGGAAGATGGGGTCTTCCAGGCAGGGGTCCTTCAGTCTTGCATTCTGTGATAACCTTGGGAAGGTTACTTTCTCTCCATAAGCCTCAGTTTCCCCTTCTGCAAAGCATGAGGGTGTACCCAGTTCTGCAATCTTTATGGGTTCCAACAGCCTATTTATTCTAGGACTCTTTTTCTGTGTCTTATTGTGAATATTATCTGGCACTCCCTAGACAAATGTCGTTTAAAAAATATTTTTACCATAATCCTCAGTAAGAAATACATTTTACACAGTAGCCTACTTTATATAACTGAAGCAAAGGTTTCATAAATTAATACGCTTTCTATGGGGATAGACATAAAGTTTGATGGAATAGAAGAGAGAATGCACAAATAAATCTGTACACTTAAGGTCAATTGATTTCTAACAAGGGTGCCCAGGTAACTCAATGGGGGAAAGATGGTCTTTTTAAATAGCAGTGGGACAACTGGTTATTCAGATGCAAAAATAAATAAATACATACACATATACATAAATACATAAACTTAGAGTCTTACTTCACATGATACACAAAAAATTGATTAGTAAATGGATCACAGACAGAAATGCAAGAGTGAAAAAAATAAGGAGTGACTGATTATACCTCTACACATAAGGAATAGGATCATCTTCACAGACATTATGCTCAGTGAAAGAAGCCAATCACGAAAGCCTAAAGGTTTTATGATTCCATTTATAGGGAATCTCTAGAAAAAGCAAAAATAATAGAGACAGAAAGTAGATCAGAGATTCGCTGAGGCTGTGGGACTGTACATAGGCAGGAGGGGACTTTGCGGTCAGACAATGGACGCATTCTAGAACTGTGATGGTGCTTACACCGTGGTACAGATTTACTAAAACTCATCAAACAATACACTTATCAAGGATGGACTTCATGGTTTATAAATCACAACTCAAATAAATAAGATGACTAATACAATTAAACCTAAAGAATGCAGATGATAAATTATTTGCTCATTTTATTTTATTTTATTTTATTTTTGAGACGGAGTCTCGCTCTGTCGCCCAGGCTGGAGTGCAGTGGCGGGGTCTTTGCTCACTGCAAGCTCCGCCTCCCGGGTTCACGCCATTCTCCTGCCTCAGCCTCCTGAGTAGCTGGGACTACAGGTGCCGGCCACCTCGCCTGGCTAATTTTTTTGTATTTTTAGTAGAGACAGGGTTTCACCGTGTTCGCCAGGATGGTCTCAATCTCCTGACCTCGTGATCCACCCGCCTCGGCCTCCCAAAGTGCTGGGATTACAGGTGTGAGCCACCGCGCCCGGCCTACTCATTTTTTAAAATGTAGGTTCTCTGGGTATGACAAGTTAGTTCCGAACTACCTCTTACTACTTTCTTCATCTCTCTTCATAACATCCACAGCATCATTACACATAGGTATTGCTTATCAATGACTATTCACTTGAAAATATTAAAAAGAATAGATAAATACTGATCGAAATTATTTTGAAAACTGAATTCTTTTTAAGAAAATGAGTTTTATAAGTCTAAGCAGATCTTTCTACATTTTCATATCCAATACCAACAAAGGCCACTGGTAAATCATAATTAGCCACAGATTCAAGCACATAAGTTTGTCATACCCACTACAGGCCCAATCTAATGGTTCTGAATGCTTGTGAAGCACAAGGAAAAAAGTTCTCTCTCTCTGTAGGAGTTTAGGATGGAACCAGTCACTTCCAAACCAACTGATGACTAGTTTCCTACGCACTTCAGTGGTTTCAAACCTAACCGATCATCTGAATGATTCACTGGCCTCTCACCCCCTGCCCAGACCTAAACAATTGGAATTTCTGTGGGGATCCTTCCTAAAAAGTTTTTCCAGGCCAGGCGTGGTGGCTTGTGCCTGTAATCCCAGCACTTTGGGAGGCCAAGGCAGGGAAATCATTTGAGGTCAGGAGTTCAAGATCAGCCTGGTCAACATGGTGAAACCCTGTCTCTACTAAAAATACAAAAATTAGCCAGGCGTGGTGGTGTGCACCTGTAATCCTAGCTACCGGGGAGGTTGAGGCATGAGAATTGCTTGAACCCGGGAGACGGAGGTTGAAGTGAGCTGAGATGGTGCCACTGCACTCCAGCTTGGGTGACAGAGCAAGACTCCATCCCAAAAAAAACAAAACAAAACAAAACAAAACAAAAACCAACAAATTCCAGGTAGTCGGGGAGGTTTATGAGCCTCATTTGTAGCCACATCCTTTGGTATGGTCAGTTTTGAGATAGGTCACAGAGAACTGGTTTCCAATTATAGCTTAAACAGGAAGGTTTGCAAATAAAGGCCATTAAAAGATTACAAAGCACGGTATAGATTAAGTTGCCTCAACAATCACACCACCCACCATTTCTTGTCTTTGCATCTTTAGAAAGAAATGGTATAATACTTGGTAGGCTAGAATTCTGCAAACCCCTGAGAACCCACATTGATAACCTCAAATTCTTAGCTTTTCAAAGCCTCCTAAGCCTTTTTAGTCAAATGGAGATATCACCAATTAATTTTTTTCATGTCATCATTTGCTATTAGATCAAGTCATTCTCCTGTCTTTGCACAAGCTAATTTAAAAACCAACTGCAGAATTTCCACTTATACTACTGAAGCCAGTTTGTAGCAATTCACTCTAGATTGTATATATCTTTTTGAATCTTCAGTTATTTAATGAACTCATCAGTTCTCCCAGATTTATAGTATCTCAAATTTTACCAAATGAGCTTTTGTATTCAGGACATTTATTTTCATTGCCTCTACCTTTAATCAACCTGCGAACCTATTTTCCCTCACACTTTCCTCTTGCTTCTAGCCACCTGCCTCAGGAGGGAAGGGGGCCTCCTCCTTGGTCCTCAGGAGTCTCCGGTCTCCAGCGATGCCAACTCTGTCTTGTATCCACTGCTTGTGACTCTATGCCTACTCATCTTCCACAGCTTAGACCGATATTCAAATCTCTCCCATCTGAAAAACAAAATCCTTCTTTGGCACAAAATTTCCCTTCCCATTCAGCCTTCATCTTCTTTCTCATTTTCTTTCCCAGTCAAGTTTCTGGAGAGAGGAATGTTTCCTGAGTTCTCTTTATTTCTCTTCTCCAATTAGCTCCTCCTCTCTATTGTCTGCTTCTGCCCTCATTGTTCCAATAAAGCCGCTGCCAGCTGGAGCCATTAGAGACCCTCTGAGTGGCCACATCCAATCAACCCGTTTTCTGTTCATACCTACTTTAACTTTCCTGTTGAGTATGTTTTTGTGAACGATTGTCTCCTTGAAACAATCTTCCTTTAGTTTTTCGCACATTGTCTGTTCTCCTTTCTCCTTCCTACACCCTGGACTGCCCCCTTTCAGCTGTTATCTCAAGGCACTCTTTCCCTTTCATTTCTTCCAAATTGCCTCTGTCTTTGACTGCTTCCTCCTCTCATTCTCCTCCAGTGACTCTTCAGGTATGGCTCTGGAATCTTTTGCGTCAGAAACACCCAAGGAGCTTTCTGCTTGCTAAAGGTATGACCGGAGTTCTAGTCCAGACCTACTGTATAGAGTCTCTGGAGGTGGGTAGGAATGTGTATTATAAGTTGTCTCTCCTGGAGATTCTGACACTTTCCCTGGACCACACTTTCCCGCCCTCCTCCACCCCCACCCTGACAGGGTCTTGCTCTGTCACCCAGGCAGGAGTGCAGTGGTGTGATCACGGCTCAGTGCAGCTTTCATCTTCCGGGCTCAAGTGATCCTCCCAACTCAGCCTCCCAAGTACCTGAGACTACAGGCGTGGACCACCACACTTTGCTAATTTCTAAATTTTTGTAGAGATGAGGCTTTGCTATTTTGCCCAGGCTGTGGGCCATCCTTTGTGTGTGTGTGTATGTGTGTGTGAGAGAGAGAGAGAGAGAGAGACAGGGTCTCACTTTGTTGTCCAGGCTGGAGTACTGTGCCGGGATCTCAGCTCACTGCAACTTCCGCCTTCCGGGTTCAAATGATTCTTGTATCTTAGCCTGCTGAGTAGGTGGGATTACAGACGTGC